AGTCCTCCTTAATAAGCTGATCCTTCACTTGGAAGATGGTCATCTACCCAAGAGCCAGTGTGGCTTCAGAAAGGGCCGAGGAGGAATGGTCAATATGGTGTTTGCTGCTGGACAACTCTGGGAGAAATGCCAAGAGCAAAACAGAGGTCTGGACACAAAGTTTGTTGATCTGACCATGGCATTTGATACTGTCAGTTGTGAGGGCTTGTGGAAGGTCATGGGAAAATCTGATTGCCTGAAGAAGTTCATTAGTATTATATGTCAGCATGCTTGCATGTGTACTGGATAAAGGACAATGTTCTTGGGCTTTCCCAGTCACCAGTGGAGTGAAGCAGGGCTGTGTGTTTGCTCCCATGCTTTTTAAGTATGACATTTTCAGTGATATTGTCAGACACCTTCGATAGGGATGAAAATGGCATAAAGGTAAGCAACTGCACTGCCGGTAAAATTATTTAACTTGAAAAGGCTACAAGCCAAGACTAAATTGGAGGGAGAGCTGGTGGATGACTTTTTGTGCACTTACTGCTGCAATGCAACAGAGTGTGGACCAATTCTCTGCTACTTGGGTTAATTTTGGCCTGATAATTAATATCAAGAAACAGAAGTTCTCCACCAGTTAGCACTACACCATCCATAAATGGAACAATTGGTTACAGCCAATGGAGAAATACTGAATGCTATGGATAAGTTCACCTATCTTGGCAATATACTTTCCAAGGATGTACACACAGAAGATGAAGTTGATGCACACACTGCCAGAAATAGCTCCGCATTTGGAGGTTCCCAAAGAAAATATGGGAGATAAGAGACTGCCTACCAAACTGAAGATCTACAAAGCCACTGTGTTGACGTCGTTGTCATATGCCTGTGAAACCTAAAAAAGTCTACTGAGGCCATGTTAGAAAACTAAACCACCTCAAACTGAATTATCTTGGGAAGATTATGAAGATCACATGGTAAGAGGTGCTAAGCATTCAAATTCTGCTGCTGATGGGCTAGCCACAATGTCTGAATACCAAACACACATTTCCCTAAAAGACGATTTTACAGAGAACACATAAAAGGCAGGTGTTCACAAGGAGGTCAGAAGAAGTGATACAAGGACACTCTCAAGGTCTCTCTGAAGCATTCTTGAATTGATTGTGAGATATGGGAGATATGGGAGACACTAGCATAGGACCACCTAGCATGGTGTGCCCACATCAAAGAAGGCACTGTGCTCTATGAGCCAGGCAGAATTGGGGTAGCTCAAAGAAAAGTGAGAAGTGAAAATTCACAGACATCTCCACTCCAAATGTTCACATGGACTATTTATACCCGATTTGTGGTAGAGCCTTCTAAGCTCGTTTTGGTCTGATTAACCACAGTCAGATACACTGTACCTTGACACCAACATAGTGATGTCATTTTGGTTCTCTTTAAGCACAAAACATGACAATCTACCAACCCTGACATGTACCCTTCGATCCAGTGACACTGGCCTCCTGACTGTTCCATGAATAAAACATCCCTTCTCTAAACACTGAACATTTTCTCCGGCTGTTCATTTTGCCGGGAATGCTCTCTCTCCTCCACTCTGACTAATGACCCCTCCTGGATTCCTTTAAGTCCCAACTAAAATCCCATCTTCTATAGGAAGCCTTCCCCAATACCTCTCGATTGCAGTGGCTTCCTAAATGATTTTATATATATCCTGGATGTGGCTTGCATTGTATATATTTGTTTACATGTTGTCTCCCCCCCCTTAGATTACAAGCTCCTCAATTGCAGGGACTGTCTTTGGGTTTGGTTTTTTTTTTAATTTTTTTTTTAAGGCAATTGGGGTTAAGTGACTTGCCCAGGGTCACACAGCTAGTGTCAAGTGTTTGGTCTGAGGCCGGATTTGAAGTCCTCCTGACTTCAGGACCAGTGCTCTATCCACTGCACCACTGCTGCCCGTCTTTGGGTTTTTTTGTGTATCCCCACCTTAGCAGAGGGATTAGTACATAATAGGTGATGAAAATATGTTTATTGACTGATTGATATGATGGTGAGCAAGTAAGTTTTCTGCAGTCACCTACAAGATTATGCTGCATATCTATCCACCCATGCATAGCATCAGGGCATTCTTTTCCAGCTGGGAGTGGATGTTTATGCTTCTTCTTCATTGTGTATACATACAATAGATAGCTGTACATAAATAGACATATAACAGCTCCAGCAAAATTCCTACTGGCAAAGAGCAGAAAGATGTCAGAGTAAGCTGTAAAAAAGAGCTTGGTGTTTTAAATGCAGAAATGGTGATTTCAAGCATTTATACAAATTGCTACGTACTGTAGGTTGCAATTCTGAGATAGAATAATACCCAAAGTTGCAACCAAGAACAAATCAAAGGACAGTCGTTTTGAAAGTGAAAGCTTAGTCAGTGTAATGGCATACTGACAATCTGTACAGTGTTAATGCTTTTTCCTGGAATTTTTACTTTATGTATTGATTAACATGTATTAGAAATAACCTGAACAAAACTCAACGTATTTTATGTCTTTAAAAAGAAACTAAACTGAGATGAGAAATGTAGCAAATGAATTGTTTCATAATTTGTGCAGATTAACCCTCCATCATAAATATCAGAATCCTGGAATCTGAAGACTTTTAAATGTGTGAGCTGATGAAATCTACATAATGAACTTTAACTTTTTATCAGTGAAAAACTATTAAATTCACATTAACTTCACACAATTTTATATACTTCATATATAATTGCTCCTTCATAAGAGAGGGCATAAAACATAAATGTAAAAATAAGCTCTGATGAATGAATGGATGCGAATCATAGGCTGACAAAAGGGAAGTTAAGGCTTTTTAGGTAAACTCCTACCATCTCTGGCCCAAGAGGTATTAAGAAAAAGAACTAGACCAGGTGTCAGGATATGTAGTGAAATCACTTGTACCTTTCCTGGGCTCAGTTTCCTTGTCATCTGGAGTACATCTTACATTTTAACCCCTAAAATGAGGAGATTCTTCTTTTCCACTGCCAGGGATGGAGTAGGAGGCCACGTAACCCAACATAGGTTATTTTATGTTCTAAAATCTTAGTGCTAATATCTTAATATTTCTTTTTTTGTTTTTAAATCTATAGGACTGTAGTCTATTTTAACTTGTTTTACTTTTAAAAAATGCACCCAATCAGACACTCAAAAATAAGTATTTAAGACTTTTTCTAGAATGGAAAGTTAAATTTTAGAGAAGATATGTCACACATGTATCTTTTGGTATCAATTCCGAATTACTATATATCCAGTAGCTTCTCTGAGATTCCAGGGGAGAACACACACAGAGCCAATGTCCAAAATTAAGCTCAGGTAATCTGGGTGGGTTACCTAACCCTCAGGTGTTGCAGTAAAAGGAACTACAAAGGTGTAGGCCCTGCCTTCTGTAATGCAACATGGCGTACTGAGAAAGCACTCAACTTGGAGTCACAAGATGTGGGTTTGAGTTTTGGCCCTGATACAAGCTATGTCCATGTCACAATTCTGAGAAGATAGTTTCTTATCAGTAAAACAGACGTGAATACATTTGAATGATGCTGTGAAGGTGTTATCTGGTACAATGTAAAGTATTGTATCAAAACAACCTGTTATTCTGTAATAATTTGAGGCCCCAGGGAGACAACAATAAAAGGCAATTGAGGGAGGGATAAAAGATTTGGAGACGGAAGTTGCTTTAACCCCAAGTCATAAGTGGTCAGTGAGTCACAGAGCCAGAGCTCACACGCAGGCCATGTGACTGCAAAGCCAGCATTCATTTTCACAAGTGCACTATATTGAGTGGTCCCTGGATTCCTTTAAGTCCCAATGTAAAATCCTATCTTATAAGACACCCTTCTAAATCCTCTTAATTCTAATGCCTTCCCCCTATTAATGACTCCCTATTTAACCTGTATATAGCTTGCTTTGTATATACTTATTTGCCTGTTGTCTCCCCCATTAGATTGTAAGCTCCTTGAGGGAAGAGACTGCCTTTTGCCTCTTTTTGTATCCCCAGTATTTAGCACAGTGCCTGGCACACAGTAGGCACTTAATTAATGTTTACTGATGGATTGAATGGTTGATCTAGACCTTCAATTTAAAATACTCTACTTTGCTTTGGAAAGTAAGATAAGTGTGTATGTATATATATTATTTATAATATATATGTGTGTATATATACATATACACACATATACACATACTTGTGTATGTGTGTGTGTATGTATATGTATATGAAAATATAAAATGTTTTTCCCCCCCAGTGAAGGGTCTCTGATCCTAAGGAGTTTCCTAAGGATAGAAGTGTCAAACTCCAGGGGCCTGCAAAACTCCCGAGATTGGAACCAGATTAAAAAGTAATTTGGAACTATTTAACAAAAAAAAAATACAACATAATGAAGATAATGTTAATTTGTTGTTTTCTAAGTCAATATGCAGTTCACACTGATAAGTTTCTATTTGAGTTTGATATCCTTACTCTGAAGCATAGAGAGATTAAGTCACTTACTCAGGGTTACACTACTAGTAAGATGAGCTGGCATCTTAGAACTTGTACCTAGACTGCCATGATTCCAATCCAGCTTCCAGCCACCAAGACTGTGTCTTATTTGCTACCTGTATGCTGCTGCTAGATTAGTAACTTTCATTATTTTCCTGAGCCTTCACCAACAAGACTGTGGAAGAAAAGATGCCTAGGAGTGTGGCATAAATTGAAAGAGAGTTGATCTGGTACAAAAAAATCAACTATGGAGAACTCCACAAAATTGACAACCCCCAAATAGATAATTCTTCATTAATTAAGATGAAGAGGTCTTTCTACTCTGCTTAGGTTTGTGAAGCATGAATATCTATTTAGAAAAAAAGTGGGGATTTAGTTTTCAGTTGAGGCAAGTGTTGTTAACAAACACCAAAGTGTCCTTTCTTCAAAACTGCTATCAAAGTCTGTGCCTACATGGCCACAATCTGTCACAATAGCAAACAGTCATGCAGTACCTTCGATACGAGGCTTGTTCTGTATGCTGCTAGCTGCTTCAGGTATTCTGTCTTTGCTGCTTTGGTTTTTCTTTTGTAGATCTATAAGAATGAGAGTGTTCTAAATGAGAGAATATACCTCCTTTTGTTTTCAGAGAAGCATAATTTATACTGACAACCTTTCTCATACTGCCAACAATATTCTGTTCTTAATAGTCCACGTAGACACACCTGTTTTATTGAAAGATTTTTTTTCTTTTGAAGAGTGTGCCTACGGATTATTACAAGAAATAGACTAGAGATAGAACAATTTCACTTAGGTCATAATAAAGAACTTATTTAGGTTTCAATGAGCTCTAAGCTAGCTGATTAGGGAAAGATATTGCTTATGAACACTGGCAAGGAAACATAAACACAAATAAGGTGTTTACCATTCATAGAGCAGTTGAGATTATTTGACCAGAACAGTAAAACACAACATATGCACTTTAGCAGCCTATAAGAAATGGTTTCCAAAAATCTTAATAACTTCTACAGGTTTACCAACTTTATTGTTTTCTTTTGTTGGTTCCCTACTGCCTATAGTCAGGATCACTGAAGCTGAATTTTAATCTTTTTCTTTTGGATTGATTTTAAGAACATTTTCAATCTCACTGTCCTCCTTCCCATGATAATCTTATATAGGATGATGAAAATGTACAGTACAGAATTGGAAAAGCAAATGACTGTAGGATTATACTTGGACCACTCTGCTGATCCTCTACTGATACTAGAGGCAGATGGGTGGTACAGTAGACAAAGCACTTGGCCTGGAGTGAGGAAGATTTGAGTTCAAATTTTGCATCACATATTTATTAGATGTGTGACCCTGGGAAAGTCACTTAACTTCTTTCTGCCTCAAGTTTCTCAGCTATAAATTGGGATCATAACAGCACCTAATTCCCAGGGTTGTTGTGAGGATCAAATGAGTTGCTATTTGTAAGAGTTCTTAGCCTAGTGCCTGGCATTGAGTAGGCATTATATAAATAGTTATTCCCTACAGAATTTTCCAAGCAGAACCCTGATTGTCAAGGAACTACTTCACCCTTATTTTAAAAAATAAACATGGTCTGAAATGAATAAGATTTGCTAGGTATATGGCAAAGGTCATACTGCTAAGCTAAACAAAGAAAAATCATTTCAGAGTAAAAGAAAAAATTGGTGACATGAAAATAGGTAGGCATTTGTAGATTCAGTTCCTACTTTCACTATATTATATAATGGTTCTGCCATCTGCTGTTGCCAGTACTTACTCCTCAAACTTTCTAAATACTAGCTACTCTATACAAGGCAAAGTTTTAGGTTTAGCAAAACTAAGTCTGATGTTTTCACATACTGAAGTTTACATCAGGGAGCTAGGCTTTTCCACGTTTTTCCAATACTGACATTCATAAGCAAAGAAATAATAATTTGGACATGTTATCTTTGGCTTTGGCCAGACTATCAAAACATTTATAACAGGTAAACACTGATCATAGGCCTGCAACACAGAAACACTATTTCATTATTTCCAGGGCAGATAATTGCTGGCTGAGCCTGACTTCACGCTATGAAATTCAATATGTGAGAAATACTATTTATTCCTGGGTACTAGTGGTTTTAATTAAGATGTACTATCTCAAGGTAAACAAATGATCAGCCTTGACAAAGGAGTTAGAAACAGGACCCTAACTGATACATTTCTAATTGTTCATTCCTTTCTGGGCCCTGTTACTCACTTTCTCTGGATTGAAAATCATGCCTCTACTGCAGTTTTAGCCTGGGGCCTCCTCATTCTGGAACATCTGGGACAGTACCTAGAGTGTGCACCCTGGAATATCCTTCCACAAGCCCTCCTCCCTTCTCCCACTGGTAAGTATCTCCTGGAGCCTCGATTCTGTGAAGGGGTCCAGGATGGACTGTCTTCAGTCCCCTCCTGATCCCATTCCTGACTTTCTCTGGACTTCACAATTATGCATTCATTCCATGGACCTTCTTAACCTTCCATCCTCCCCTTCAGCTCCCCTTTTGTGTGTTGTCTTCTCCAATTAGAATGTAAGCTCTTTGAGGGAAGGGACTGTATTTGTTTTTGCTTCTATTTGTACCCTTCAGTGTCAGGAACATATTAGGTGCGAATAAATGCTTAGTTCCTTCCTTCTTCCTTGCTTAAAGAAGGCCCCCAGCATACTGGATAGACCTCTTGAACTTATAGTAGGACATGGACACATGCTGCAGAAGATGCATCATCAATTTTCTCATTTTTAAAATGACAGTTCAGCCTAGGTTAGACACTGAGGACCCTTCCAGCTCTGAGTGTAGGACGCTACAGCCAAAGGCACCAAAGCAGAGGAAGCAATACCAAATCCAGCAAACACATGCAGGTCAGTCCAGCTAGAATATAGAGGGCATGAAGAGCAGCCATGTGAAATTCAGCTGGAACTATAGGCTGGGGCCAGACTGTGTGGGACTGAAATGATGCCAAGCTGAGTCCTTCTATTATGCTAGAGGTAGTTGGAAGCCACAAAAAAATTTTGAGCAGAGATGATATGGGCTTTAGGAATACCAATTTGGCTTCAGTAATAAGTGATCACTGATGTTGCTGTTTCCAACTCCATTCCTCCCAAAGAGTCCCTACCATGTCTAGGAGTCTGAGCCTACTCTAGCGTTAAAGTCTCCCAGCATTATAAGCTTTTTCTTTTTTGGCACATTGATGATAAGGGTCCCCAGGTCTTCACAGAATTTTTCTTTTGACCTCATAGGGTTTGTTATGGTAGGAGCACAGGCATTGATGACAGTGGCATGGTGTTTTCCTGCAAGTGGCAATCGTGTTATCATGAATCTGTTATTTACTCCTTTTGGTAGGCATACAAGCTTATTCACTATATTAGTTTAGATTGCAAAACCTACACCAGCTTCATGGCACTCCCCTTCACTGTGGCCATTCCAGAAAAATATGTATCCAGCTCTGTCTTCAGTAAGCTGGCCTTCGTTTGCCAGCATCATTTCACTCAGGGCTGCTATTTGGATGTAATACCTGCTGAGTCCTCTTGCAACAAGAGTTGTTCATCTTTCAGGTCTGGATTTTGTGTTATACATAAGTGTGTGCATTAATTATTTCATTATTACTATAAAATAAAAACATTCCTAAAAAAGAAAATGCTCTCTCCAACAAAAAAAAGGAAAAGAAAAGAAAAGAAAAGAAAATTGGTCCTTTGGACATATACAAGTATTTACCACTTTTACTATAGCACAGTCATATCAAAAGGAACAATCCAACTCAGTGGTGGAAATTACAGAGTTGATAAGGTAAAAGGAATTATTATCTATCAATTATTATCATCATCCATCTAATATAGTGCATAAAAATATGTAACAAGTCTGCTAAAAATCATGTGAGTATTTTCACAGGATAAAAAGTGCTAGACAGTGTCCTTCTATTGTATTCGACTTTCTCCCTCCAGAATTGTGCTCATTTTGTTCCCTTTACATGGAAAACTCTTTCCTTCCTCCCATCTCAACTTACTAACATCAACTTTTTTTTTTAAGGTCAAGTTCACATGCTACTGCTTCCAGTAAACCACCTCTGTTCTCCACAGCTGGACACCTTCTCTTATGTACTTACTATATTTTAATTTTTATTTAGCTTGTCTAATTTATCTAGCATGTCTAATCACTCCTGCTCAACTGCAAACTGCCTTCTCATTTATCATTGACTTTCTCCCACTGCTTGCCTTAATGCACTGCACATAGTAGAGATAACTGTTGAAAGCTGAATGGATGAATGAAAAATACCTCAAGAAAAAAAAGTGTGCCTTTAAAACCATGCTAATTTAGAACTAAGTAGGATATTTTGAAAAGATCACGCTAGAGTCAATGTAGTGACACGATGATTGCATATATCTCACTTTCAGTATACTCCATGAAAATTCCCATTTCTAAGTCTGATAAAGTGTAGCAATTATCCAATATGAGTGTCTGATTTCTCACTTTGAGAACACTTAGCAGGAAGTCCACTCCTGTCTGCCATCCTGCAGAGCTGCAGAAAATTCCTGCTGGTTCATCTAGCACTGCAAATGGTCTTCTTAGGTAAGAGGCCTATTACACCTTCTTTTATCAATTAGTCATTAGGAACAACAAGTATTTATGGACAATTTGGCAACTGCACTTAAAGCCACAGAAATAACTTTACCTTTAAGTGGAAATGAGAGATGCCATACGTTATCTTTGCTATCTTTAAATATATTCTTACTTAGCTCTTCTAGTAAGAGGTTTTTTTGCTAAATAACTGAAGTAATGACATTGCCTGTGTGACTGATAAGACATTTAAACTACATGAAGTCAATAAAAGTGCCCAGCAAAGAAGAATTAAGCATGCACTATATATTTTTTCTTAATATTTTTAAAGTTTTTAGTTCCAAATTCTATCCCTCCCTCTTGTTTCCTCCCCACTCCCTGAGATGGCAATCAGATGTAAGTTATACATGTGCAATTATGTAAAACATTTCCATATTAGTTATGTTGTACAAGAAGACTCAAAAGAAAAAAATGAAAAATAGCATGCTTCAGTTTATATTCAAATAATATCAGTTCTTTCTCTGGAGGTGGATAGTATGCTTCATTATTACTCCTTTGGAATTGTGTTGGATCACTGTGTTGCTGAGAATAGCTAAGTCATTCACAGTTCTTCACTGAACAATATCTTTGTTACTGTGTACAACATTCTCCTGGTTTTGTTCAGTTCACTAAGCTTCAGTTCATGTAAGTCTTTCCAGGTTTTTCTGAAATTATACTGCTTGTCATTTCTTATAGCACAATAATATTCCATTACAATAATATACCACAGCTGGTTTAGACATTCCCCAACTGATGGGCATGCCTTTGATTTCCAATTCTTAGCTACCACAAAAAGAGCCACTATATTTTTGTACAAATAGGTCCTTCTCCCTTTTTTTGGATGTCTTTTGTATATAGAACTAGCCATGGTATTGCTGGATTAAAGGTTATGCAGTTTTATTGGAGCATAGTTCCAATTGCTCTCCAGAATGGTTGGATCAGTTCACAATTCTACCAACAGTGCATTAGTG